CAATCACCACTTTCTTCAGATGCATCGGCAGGCTGAGCCAGAAAACACATAAGACCCAGCAGGCCTCGTTTCTATTCTAAAGTCTTTTTTTATAGGCTAGAAAAGCGGACTGATGATTTTGTTCTCGGATGTAAACTGCGGCAGAATGTGGCTGACGACTGACAAACCAATCACCACTTTCTTCAGATGCATCAGTCTCCACAAAACACAAAAAACCCAGCAAGCCTCTTTTCTTTTCTAGAGTCTTTTTTCATAGGCTAGAAAAGCGGACTGATGATTTTGTTATTCTGGGGCCAAGTCCCACTAGCAGCATTGAGTTTCCTCAACATCTGAATCTGGACGTGTTTGTGGAGCTGTGCGGTTGAGGAAACTCAACGCGATTTCTGCACATATCCACAAACACGTCCAGATTCAGGCGTTGAGGAAACTCAACGCTGCTAGTGGGACTTGGCCCCTGGTGGCTCACGTAATGTGAAGAACGCTGTGCCTCTTGGTTCGTCAGTCCTCAGGTCCACTCTCTTGCAGTTTTTTTTTCTCTCTCTTTTCCGTTAATAATAGATAAGATAAAGCTGATCCATCCAAAAAGGAGGAGAGGGGGGGGGGGTAGGAACAAGCTGACCTTTTTTTTTTTTTTTTTTTTTTTTTTTAAAGCTGACTAATTTGGGCAGCCCACGATCTGACGAACTCAAATAATGGGCCTCACTCCACTGAAGAATTAGCCAAAATTTTGACACGTGGCGGCGCTTTGCGCCTCGCCTCGTGGGTTCGAGTCCCGCTAGCCGTACACTAATCTCTTTTCGATTTCAAAATAGATAAAGCTGATCTATTTGGGCAGCCGATGATCTGCCGGCCTCGGATAAAGGGCCTGGCTCCACCGCACAACACTCTACATGTATCTGGGGCTCATAATCGTCCCAGTACATTCAAAATGTTGGACTCCTTGGAGTGCACCTGTTACAGAAAGACATCCAAAGATTCCAAATGCATGTAGAGTGCTGCGTAGTGCAGCCAGGCCCAAATTGCTGGCTCATTTGTCCTTAACATCTGCGCTGTCTCTCGACTCCATGGCCCAAAATCTGAATTTGGACTCAGATCTAGTTCATGGGGTGCACAGACTGAGCTACACCTGTTGGCCTTGAGATTTATTTTATTTGATTTGCGAAAGGAATAACTTTCAATGACATTAAAAAAAAAAAAAAAAAATTGAGGCCGGGGTCCTCACAGTCCCCTGACACTAGGTAATTCAGAATCGTAGTATTTTCCTTTCCCGGCTTGTATAATAATAATAATAATTGTGCCCAAGCGGGCTAGCTCAGTTGGTTTGAGCACGGAAGCGGTTTGCAGGAGGTCGTGGGTTCGATTCCCCACTTCATCCATTCTATCCCCACGGCCTCCTGTGATGCGCTTCGGGTTCTCCAGCGGACATAATTGGCTTCGGCCTCCTGGCTGGCTGGGAAGCGACCATTTGCGCTTTCCAGCTCGCGCCTGGCGTTGGAAGCTTGGGTGCTCCTCCCCGCACAGAGCAGAGATTAGCTGTGTCTTCTTAACTTAGGAGAGATTTCCTGCCTTGGACACGAAAAACGCTGTAGTGGATTGCTAAGCTGTGGGTGGGTAGGTAGGTAGTGGGAGATATATCGAGAGAAGGATATAGGTTAGTTAAAAAATAATAATAATAATAATAATAATTGTGTTTTGACAAAAAATAATAATAATTGTGTTTTGAAAAAAAAAAGAATCATAGTATTTTCCTCATAAGCTTCTGGTGGTGTTCGAACTAAGGTCTGTAATGACTCTGTATTTCTTTTCTTTTCTTTTTTTTTCTTTTTTTTTTTTTCAACAAAAACACAGCCCCTGTATTTTCTGGGGGAACCAGTCCTGTTGGTTATCACCGGCAAGCATGGAAAATACAACAGGTCAGGGGTGTACCAACTGAGCTAGGCCAGTTGGTTCCGTTGGAATTCAGACTCAGGTCTATCGGCCTAGTTGCACGACTCCGAGGTTGGTCGCACCAAGATCTTGTATCTGGGTCATGAAATTTCTGCGGATGGATTGAGGCCGGATGATGCCAAAGTGGCCAGCATGTGTGCCTGGGCCAGACCTCAGTCTGTGACTGAGGTGAGGTCGTTCTTGGGGATGACAGGCTACTACCGCGATGTAACTCTATCTATGGTGGAAGCCTATCGAGAGGACGCAGTCATGTCTAAGATCATCTGCAAACTGGAAGCTAAAGACAAGACTACTTCCGATGAGTTTGCGCTGGTTGACGGCTTGCTGTTCCTTGAGAAGGCTGGGAATGGACGTTGTGTGTTCCAAACAAAGAATCTTTACATAGTTTACTTTTGCATGAGTGTGATGCAATCGGACATTTCGGCTATAAAAAGACAGCAGCAAATTTGGTGGCCTGCAATGATGGATGACACAAAGAAGTATGCAGAAACTTGCCAGGTTTGTCAGCGTGACAAGCCACGGACGCAGGCACCGCTTGGGCTTATCAAGCCCTTACCCATCCCTGCTGGCGCAGGTCAAAGTGTGTCCATGGATTTCATGGATACCCTTGTGACCAGCAAGAGCGGTAAACGGCACATCTTCGTCATTGTGGACAGGTTCACTAAGTATACTAGACTAATCGCTATGCCTGAGACAGCTAGGACTGACCACGTCATCAAGCTATTTTCGGACAACTGGGTACGTGACTTCGGTTTCCCTAAGTCTATTGTGAGCGACAGGGATGTCAGATTCACTAGCGATCTGCGGCAATGTACAGCCCAACAGATGGGCACCCAACTGCAAATGACATCAGGGAACCACCCTGAGTTGAATGGCCAGGCCTAACAGATGAACGGGGTAGTGCAGCACTTGCTTCGGTATTATATTAAGCCAAGTCAGGATGACTGGGAAAAGAAGTTACCTCTCATCGCCAGCCTGTACAATAATGCTGTGCACACCACTACTGGCGTGACTCCAAACCAACTGCATCTTGGTTGGAAACCCAGATCTGCACTTGCCTTCCTGTTGCCTGAAAATCAGCCAACTGCAGCACCTGGCAACATAGAGTTTGCTGTCAAGTACGAACAGGTGGCAGCAAGCTGTAGAGCACATCAAGAAAGCTCAAGATGCCATGGTTGCATCTGAGAACAGACACAGACGACTGTCTGCATTTCAGGTAGGTGAACGGGTGTGGGTAAAATCATCTGAATTGGGACAAGAGTTGGGAATCTCACGTAAACTGATGCCACAGTACTTTGGACCTTGGGAAATTCTGGACATAGTAGGAGATCAACCCCATGGCCCATCATACATTATTTGCATCCCTGGTCACCTCTGCACACACCCTGTTTTCCATACGATCCAAGTTGGCACCTTCGCTGAAACTGAACAGTTTCCCTCAAGAAGTCTTAGATCGATGCTGCCCCCAACCAAGGACGGACATGTGGACATTGACGATATCGTCGAGCAAAAGCTGGCAGGGGACGCCCTCCCATACCGCAGATCCAGTATCGAGTGCAGTTCAGACAACATACTGATCGTAAAGAAGATCGGTGGTTTACAAGAGAAGAACTGATGAAGACTGCTCCCCAAATGATCTCAAGCTACCAACGAGATTTCAAAGGGAAGCAGCCTGCTGTGTAATGGCTTCTCAGAGGACTATCGAAGTAAGGGAGGAGGGAGTGCGAGAGGGTTCACCCCTCGGCATAAGGCCCTTCAGCAGGCGTGTCCCAACCCTAAGTGAAGGCGGCCCCCCTGAATCTCAATATGGCCTGAACTCATCAATTTTGCCAAATCTTGGTTGGCGCCAGACAGTTGCCACGCGCCCATTGGTTACATCCGCCTTGCTCATGAGAATCAGAAATACTGGTGCGCCTTCTAGAGAAGACGAGGGAGAGAGTGAGAGAGAGGAGGAGGATGAAGACGAGGGAGAGAGTGAGAGAGAGGAGGATGAAGACGAGGGAGAGAGTGAGAGAGAGGAGGAGGATGATTTGAGGGCACGTACCTGGTCTTGGCGATGGTCTACAAGGGTCGACATCTTCATGTACTTCGGTTGTCGCTGCTGACATCAACCTGTTGCATTTATCAATTCGTAGGCTGGTAGCAGCTGTGTGATTGTAGGCTGAGCGCTGAGCGCCAAGTAGGAAGGAGGAAGGGCTCTGGATACATATGTTGGTTGGTGGTGGGGAGAGTATGCTCTCGTTGACATTCGGATTCAGGGCTTTGGTTCTCCATTGGTGGAATATCAGTGCATTTGCTTTCAATGTGATTTTGCACTCTGTATTTCTGTAATTTCAATGTGATTTTGCACTCTGTATTTCTGTAATTTCAATGTGATTTTGCACTCTGTATTTCTGTAATTTCAATGTGATTTTGCACTCTGTATTTCTGTATTTCTGTAATTTCTGGACAGCATTGGACTTGCTGGCTTTCAATGTGATTTTGCACTCTGTATTTCTGTAATTTCGCTATAGCTCATTTTCCTTGCACATTTCTCGATTCATGCGTGTCATCTTTGCGCGGGGGCCGTAATCTTCTCTCTAAAAAAAATAAAAAAAAATTAAAAAAAATTCTCTCTGTGTATCGTTCCAAGTTTATTTAGTTACTTAACGGATGTACCGAAGAACCTTTTCTTGTCCTTTATTAACTCCTCCCCCTCCTATTTGTGATTCATTCGCAGCCCAGGCGCATCCCATCCCGATCGGGACTTGCCGATTATGCGCTAACCCCTTTTTAAGCAAACGAAAAAGGAAAAAAAAAAAAACACAACAGACAAAACTTCATTCCCTGCAAGGTTTTAGATCCCCATCCCATCCCGATCGGGACTTGTCGATTATGCGCTAACCCCCTTTTCAGCAAACCAAAAAAAAAAGAAAAACACAAACCACACAACAGCCAAAACTTCATTCCCTGCAAGGTTTTAGATCCCCATCCCATCCCATCCCATCCATACTCACTCCCCATCCCATCCCATCTCATCCCCATCCCGATCGGGCCTTGTCGATTATGATTACCTGGAGTCTCTGCAGCTCTTCCCGCCGCATCTGTTCCAGCATCGGTCTCATCGCCATCCGTCTGGACATGGACGACTCCGGCGCTTTCCCCTTTGCAGCTGCTCCACTCCCCCCCCCTCCTCCTCCTCCTCCTCCTCCTCCTCGTATTCTCTCTCGATTCGTGTACTCCCTCCATGCGATCTCCTCCGCCTCTAGTCTCATCGACTCCGGATACATTTGGCTGCACAGATGCCTCATCAGCTTCTCGGCATCGTGCCCGACCTGCTGAAGCGCATTCATCACCGTCGTGGGTAGGTACCCTGCCGCCATTAACCCCTCAACCATCTCCTCCGCAGCGGTTCCCATCTGCCTAGCTCGGTTAAGGCACTCGATAAAGGCAGGATCCTCGTGCGACATACGCCCGCCCACTTCCCCCGCGCTAAACCCGCGGGCTTTGCCCCTCCCCTTGGCCTCCCCTTTGCCTCTCCTCCTTTCTGTTTCACTGGTCGACTACCGCCTCCACACCTCGCGCTGCCCCCCTTTCACCCTCTCCTTAGGCCCCGGAGGGCTTTCTCAGCGAGGGGTCAAAAATATAAAAGCAGCGGAGAAGAGAAGGGTTAAAGGTGGATAAGAAATACAGCGGGGAAGGCTGTGGCCAGAACCCGATATAAAGCAAAGGAAAGGGCAAAGGGCAGGGGGCGGGAGGAAGAGAGAGGGAAGGGAGATAGGGGGGGGGAGAAGGAAATGGAGAGAGAAAATATAACAATTGAATTATGAATGAATCTGTGACATTGAATGAGAGAAAGAAAAAAGTTTTCTGGACACAGTTACGTGGACCGATCGGGGGTTTGCTTATTGGACTCGATCCATCGATCGAGCCATCGACAGATAAAAACGCAGCTAGGTCAGTGGAGTGGCCAGGTAGACAGATAAATGGATAGACGAAGGACAGATTTTATCATTGATGAAGAGAGAGAGAGAGAGAGAGAGAGAGAGAGAGGAATGATGATCGACAGATGGAAGCTGAGCAGCTGCGTCGGCAAGTTCAATGATATAAGTAGACAGAGACGGGGGAGTAGAGAGGAGGTGCAGAGCGCGCGCGTCGCGCGCGAGCGAGCGAGCGAGTGAACGAGAGAGAGAGAGAGAGAGAGAGAGAGAGAGAGAGAGAGAGAGAATGATGATCAACAGATGGAAGCTCAGCAGGTGCGACAGAAAGTTACTTGATAAGACAAGTTAGATGACAAGTAGAGAGAGAGAGAGAGAGAGAGAGAGAGAGAGAGAAGTGATGGATGGGATGGACAGAAATATATTGGCGATGGAAGAGTTGCTGGAAGCGTCTCGGTACCGAGATATATAGATAGATAGATAAATAGATAGATAAATAGATAGATAGATAGGTAGATAGATAAACAAATAAGATAGATTAGAAATGGATTGATCGATGGGTCGATGACGGTACAAAGAGAGGAAGATCGAGCGGTGAGGGGCAACAGGAAGACATGGTTACGCTTGCTCGAGCCAACGGATGCCACGTGCCATTGCGCACAATTCCGTCGAGCAGTCTATGGATTAGCTGTCCAGGTATCCATTTTTGGGGGGTCCGAGAAATGCTCCACCTCCCCATCGCAGTAGACTTGCACCTCCCTCCTCCTCCTTTCCCAATATTGCCCAGCCCCAACCCCACGGCAATCCCGGCACCCTGCAGTTAATCTACCCCTTGGTAACCCCCTTACACGTGGAGGAGGTTCAAAGACTAACGAAGCATCCTCTGAAGAGCTGCGCGCCAATTTCAACGATCCTCTCATTCTTCGGTACATTACGCGAAGGGACACCAGCGCTGCCTGGACTCCGCTGCCGCCACCACATCCTCCGCCGCGGCTCTCCCCCGCCTCGCGCCCGATACGCGCGCATTCGACTCCCTGCGCGGCCGATGTTTGCTCTCCTCCTCCTGATGGCTTTTTATTTCCTCTCTCTCTCTCTCTCTCTCTCTCTCTCTCTCTCTGTGTGTGTGTGTGTGTGTGTGTGTGTGTGTGTGTGTGTGTGTGTGTGACGGTGTACGCGAATGCGTGAGGCAGAGAGAAAGATCAGAAAGTAGATCTGGTCGGATCCGATCAGATACGTAATGTTATCCTATACCCGTGTAAGGGCATACGCACAATAGCACGACACATCTCGAACGAAATCGGACCGAAATGGAGAGCAGATTGCGTAGAGAGAAAGTCCTCCTCCGACTATGCTCTAATTGGCTGAGAAGACGCGCGAAGAATGCGACCATAAATTTATCGTCGTTAGACCGTTCACTCCTCCCCACTGCTCCATTATCCACTTCTTTCCCGTTCCGTCCTTTCTCTGCATGCATCTGCCGTCTTCTTGTTCCTCCCCCACCTCCCAGCAACCACCACTGCTCTATAGTGTCATATGCTCAGCACGGGGCCAAGACACCCCACTTGAGAGACACAGCGGGGTTGGACGTGGCGCGAACAGCAAGCCGTTCACCTCACAACATTAATCTTACAGCTCATTTGTCCTCTCTCTCTCTCTCTCTCTCTCTCTCTCTCTCGCGCGCGCGCGCGTTCACATCACAACGTTAATCTTACAGCTAATTTGTCCTCTCTCTCTCTCTCTCTCTCTCTCTCTCTCTCTCTCTCTGTGTGTGTGTGTGTGTCTCTGTGTGTGTGTGTGAGTAAAATACTCGATCTAGTCAGGGGATATCCTGTCTGTTAGACAAAAGAGTGAGTGAGCGTTCTCTTTCCCTGTCGTCGAGAACAAGACTTAGGTCGGAGTCATGACGATGCAGCCAAACCGCAGAAGGCAGCAAAGCTGCGAAGTGCAGAGAATGCCCTTTCTTTGTGTGCAACTTGGTCGGATGCAAGTTTGGGGACGTTGTCGAACAAGGGAAGGATCGCAAAAACAGAGAGTAGAGACAGAGAAAAAGAAGAAAGAGAAAGCAAAGGATCTCGGCTGGAGAAAAAATGAAAAACCGAACAACAGAAAACGTTTTGAACCTCGTCGGCCAGCAGTCCGTGCACGTTACCTGCTCTCGACGACGAGGTTCTGCTAAATCCTTCTGTGTCGGGTCCTGGCCAAATTTTGAATCGAGCGCCCCACCCGACGTTCTATTCGAAACAGGTTGGTACGAAAGGCTTGCACCAGCAGCAAACCAAAACAAAAAACCAAAAGGAAAAAAGAGAAACGTCAGCTACTACCGCGCCTTCCGCACGACTCCATCAAATGGACACGTGTCTGTTCGTGTGTGTGTCGTTAAAAAATAGAAAAAACAGAGAGCAGAGTCGGCCACCAAGCTCGCTCATCACCCTCCCCACCGCTCCATCACTCGACGCGTGCCTCTGAGTGTCTGCGCTTGTGCGCTTGTGTGTGTGTGCCCGCGCTTTTGTGTGTGTGTGTGTG